AGTTTGAACACCATTATTGATTTTTTTTTATTAATTGTTGGAATTCACAACAATTAGAACTTCAATTGTTTTGTTGTTTTTTTGGTATGCTATCAGCTAGAAGAGAACATATATTTGCAATTGTCTCTGGTGTAATAGTTAAAATACTGTGGTTTTAATTTAATACTAACTAATCGGTGTTATATTACGTTTTAACATAGAATGATATTTTCTACTAGATCAATTTTATCTGTCAAAACTGGCCTGGTGATAAAAATTGTTAACATTTTTTTGTAAAGAAAAGTTTGTTGTAATTTGCATAGCATTGGACGACTGATGGAGTGCTTGATTATCTTTTAGAAGAAAAAAAGCAGAGAATACCAACCCCAAAAACTAAAGGCAGTGTAAATCATAATAATAACTAGGGCAGAGGATCCCTGTTCCTGTTGGGGAAAGGAAGGGTTGGGGATAGGGGGAAGTATCTCCCCTGATTGGATATTAGGGAAAGGGATGGGATTGCCAATTGAATGTGGGGGTGGGGACAGGGAGTGCACTCCTTGCCTTATAGTCCACCCTGATGACATTCCTAGTCATGACTGGTGTTTGCTAGGTCAGAATGAGAGTTAGTAACTACTGTGTAAATTTGGAGAGTAACCTTAGTGAAAATGATATTTACATTGCAGTGTTTAGATTCTCTAATTAGTATGGCATAATTTAATGTCTTAGTGCTGATTTCTTGCGATTTACTTGCTCTCGCTAGAATGTGTACCTATGTGTTTGAGATTCCTGAAGTTGTTATTTTTGGTTTTTTATGAAAATTGTTGGATTAAATGGGCTATTAAAAGCTCATTGTATTTTTACTATTCTTAGTTGATGATGAGATAAGAAGATTGTAAGCCATCGGATTCTTTTTTCCTTTGGTTATTATTTACCGTTTGTAAAGGCTTTGTTTGAATGTAATTAAATAATTATCAGCATGCTTGGAGCTGTAGGATTGTATGGAAAGTGTATACTTGGATGCTATAAGATTTCCTTAATTACTTCTTTAACTGCGTTCAAAAGAAAACACTGGCTGACAAACAGAGTTCTATTTTTGTTGTAGATACAATTGACAATTCATGCATGCACATATAAAAGGGGAACAAGTGAAACTAGATTAAACTTGTCTGAACATTTTCTTAGTTGAATATTGCAACATGAATTAGTGCACTGCATTGCCAAACTTTTAATTGTTCAGGTTTATCTGGATTTGGAAGCTCCTTATTTATTTATTTAATTAATTTATTTGAAGAAGGATCATTTTTGAGTTGCAGATAGAGTTTGAACCAGAATATTTGATGGAAGAGTTTGGCACAAACCCAGATATCGATGAGAAACCACCTATGCCTCTTCGAGATGCACTTGAGAAGATGAAGCCATTCCTAATGGCATATGAAGGAATTCAAAGTCAAGAAGAGTGGGAGGTATGTTCTATTGCTTTTAAAACATAGTTCATGGTTGGTTTTTTAAATTTTTAACGGGTCAGAAAGTGGATGTGCTTCTTCTATACGAAGGACCCTGAGAACTAGAAAGATCTCTTTGTACTAATATGGTAAGATTTTTAATAAAATTTTCTAGAAAAATGCTTCTTCAAGTTAATCCCATGGTTGAATTGGACTAGTTTAGGTTTTGTTTAACAAATCTCGTGCTTGGGCAAGGCTGAAGTTAAGAGGAGAAACGAACCTTTAGTTTGTGAACAGGAAAATTGCTGTAAGGAATTATGGAGGTTTTATTGAAATTCTGAATACGCATTTTTCTACAAAATTTGAGATACTTTTGACTTTTGAAATCCATATAAATGTGATCTATTTTGATAAACCATAGATGTTGTCAGCTGTCACACTTACCACTTTGTTTTATTAGATGTCAAGTATTAAAATAACTAATATCTGTCTGTTTTTGTTGGTTTCCCACAATCACACTTCATAGTGAAAACTATTGGTGTGCTTGAGAGCTATTATTTGTTCACATTATGGTACATCTTCTATTAGTATCATAGTGAGTGAACTAAATGTAGCCAGTCAAGTTTCCTTGGTGGAAATAAGATTCACCACTTTGTTTTCAATGAAGGCATTCTTTAATTATATATATTTGAAATTTGGACCTGTTCAGCAGTACAGTGAAACTTTTATGGTGATTTGAATGTTTGTGTGATTTTTGAAAAAGAACAGTATATGATGTTTTTGTTTTTTTTTTAAAGTCTTTTGCAAGATTACTTGTTTATATAAATAGTTGTATACTCTCTTTCCCTCATTTTTTTTGAATTTTTCAGGAAGTCATCAAAGAAACAATGGAAAGCGTACCTCTACTGCAAGAGATTGTTGATTACTACAGCGGACCTGATAGGGTAACTGCAAAGAAACAACAAGAGGAGCTAGAAAGAGTTGCAAAAACTATTCCTGAAAGTGCACCTAGTTCTGTGAAGCAGTTTGCAAATCGCGCGGTTCTCTCTCTTCAGGTGACTATTCATCCTTAACTAATTTTTACTCTCATGCACAAATCATGTTTACGGAAAATGTTCTCCAGTGTTTAGGTGTTTGTGAGATAACAGTTATTGAGCTTTAGCTTCTTGTTTTTTTTGTGGGGCTTGTTTAATAGATTTGAGACATTATGAGACAACTTGTCTACCTTTGGAGGTATAAGATCCCTGACATTATAACATGGCGAATGACACAGATGAATACACATTTTTTCCCTTAATGATGAATAAATTATGTTTCTTATTAAAGTAGAAAGCCTAATGGCTCTGTTTGAATGATGCATTAGAAGACAGGTAACTTTGGAGTGGAAGTTTATTTCCCTTTGCACGTTTTTCATCTTTTCTTTCTTAATGAGAAGGATGGAAATGGGTCACCCCGCCTACTTTCCCAAGTTCTAGGTGCTGGATTTAGTTGGCTGTATTGAGTATACCAAAAACCTGAAAGTCTGAAAATTACTAGTTGAGAATGGCTTTTGCACTTAGCATCCTCCTGTTACGTTATTACAAGATGAGAATGCTGAATATAAGTTGTAGTATGAAGTTTAAACAAGGCTAGAAATGGTAGCTATTTGAACTGCTAAAACCATGTATAACTGAGATTGTTGCTTTGCATCCTGAAATCAGCATTTCATTGCTGTTAAGAGTATAATTATTTGGCAGCTCAAGACAATCTGATCTGAAATCTAAATGCTGGTGTTTAGTTATGAAACCAGTGCAACCAGTACCAACTAAATGAAACCTGGTGTTTCTATCAGAACACTCTTTTCACTAATAAACTTACATGCTAGTTAGATTCAGGAACCACATTGACATTATATTTGTTACTCATTTTTGGCTCTATAGTGAGGGTTAGATGTTGCTGTTATGTTATGGGAACTTTCAGTTACATGAACCAATAGGAGGTGCCTCTGCGGAGGTTTGAAGATTTGCCAACTGTCCTGCATTAGCCTCATGAGTCATCATTTCTTAAACTGATATTTTTATTCTCTGTTTAGAGGTGAGAAGATGTGGATATGAACATAGTGGAAGGTGTATGATTACTGTGGTGTAAATTGCATCCTTGATAAACTAAAAATTGCTTCTGAGAGATGGTTGCTGACTGTATACTTTATATGCTAGCCAATGCAACCTTTTATTATCCTGTTCTTTAAGCACTAGAGTTTCTTCATGTATGTTGATATGTATCTCAGATTACTTCTATTTTCATGCATTTAAAGGTCCATTTAACTATAATTTTTATTAATACTTCTGATAAACTGGATGATGCCCCTTAAAATAGTATTTTGATCTCCAGAAAAATTTTCACATTTTGTCTGAGAACTAGTTGGAAGGAAAGCAGATGGAATGGAAGGGGTACCTTAAAGCTTGTTTGGTTAAAGAGTGGAAAGGGAAGGAAAGAAGTTAGTATATACTTTTACAATTATGCTATGTTTAAGTTAAAAAAGAAGCCTTAAAATAATGCCCATATTGTTTTTACAATAGAAATCTATAAAGAGGAATCCTTTTCTTCCCCATTAAAATGTTCTCCACACAGGGAGCTTGTGCTCCTCCTTGCTTCCAAACAAAGCCTTTGGCCTTACATAATGATAACAGTCGGGGGTTTTCTTTCATTTATTTCCTTCTTTACTCTCCTTTGCCTAGTTTTTTTTAAGCATAAGCTCTTCTTCTTTACCTCTTATTCTGATATTTGAAAGTCTTTACAAAATTTCGGAGGATGGAACTGTTTTGAGTATGCCACTTAGATATTCTGTAGGTTGCGCTTGTCTAATATTAGTTGCTACTTGTGAATTTGATAATGCAGAGTAATCCTGGTTGGGGATTTGACAAAAAATGCCAATTCATGGATAAGCTTGTGTGGGAGGTTTCTCAACAATACAAATAAAGCTAGAAGGCTTGTTGACGTGATGATACCAGTAATTTTGGCCTCTGGATGGGGTGATATCTTATTCTGAGGCATATGCCATGGGGAAAAGTTGACTGCATTCACAATTTTTTTTTCTGGATAAATGAACAGACTTTGCTGAATAGAGATTTTACTTTTCTATTTACTTCTATATAAAAAAAGGAGGTAACGAGTCATTTTGTTACATTTCTCTCTCTCTCTCTCTCCCCTTGACTAAGATATCTTAATTAGTGTGCTGTGCACTGCGAATGTGCAGCTAGTTTTCTTTGGTGAATAAATATGTTTTCTGGAAAGGCAACATGGTTCAGTCAAACAGTAGTTTGAAAGTTAGTGTTCCGTTTTCGTATCTGAGTTTGTTCTTTTATCACTGCAAATGTGCACTCTACTTTGCTATTTGTGATGCAAAGAACCAATGTCATTTCTGACATACCTTTGTCATGCTGTTGCTACAACAGCTATTGCCTAGTTCTAATTTAATTGGATGAATAATTAAGGTTTATCAGTTGAAACTTGCTGGATGGCAGGTTCATATGACAACAGCTTGAAGAGGCCTTTTAATGTTTGGATGTGTTGCTGCTCTATTCATGGATTTTTGTTTGGAATTACCCGATTATGTAGAATTAGGGTACTCTATAATCGGATTCGGAATGGATTTGAGTAGTAAATTCACTATCCGTGTTGGGTTCGGGTAGGATTTAGATACCACCAATTGGGTATCCTGTTTCCCAAATCCGATTATGTTCTTTTTTTAATTTCATGTGATTAAAGACAAATTCATATTATTAATTAAATTAATTTATGAATTATGATTATTAATTAATTTGTAATATCTTTTAATATATATATTTTATATATTGTGTTAATATTATAAAAATTATAATTTTTAAAATTATTAATTATAATATTTATTTATTTATTTAAACTTATAATATATATATTTAAAGAGAAGTTATGAGATTATAATAGTTTTGGGATTTAGTTATTTTTTTAGTTTCATGTAATTAAGGACAAACTCATATTGTTAATTAAATTAATTTATAAAACTATGATTATTAATTAACTTATAATGTCTTTCAATATATATATTTTATATATTGTATTAATTTATAAGGAATATAATTATTATTACGTATATACTTTTAGTATATTTACCTTAAATATAAACATATTGATTTTCTATTTTGTGTTAACATTACGAAAATTATAACTTATAAAATTATTAATTATAATATATATACTTTTATTTATATAAACTTATAATATATAAACATGTGTGATTAGAATAGTTTTGAAACTTAATTTTTTTTTTAATTTCATCTAATTAAGGACAAACTCATATTGTTAATTAAACTTGTAGTGTTGTTTAAGTTGTTGTTTTAATATTTACTTTTAGTTATTTAAGTTGATATTAGAGATATTTGTTTTTGATTATTTAAATTTAAATTATATTATTTGTGTTCTTTTATAAATATAATTATTAGTGAATTATATGGAATATAGAAAGGAAATATTATTATATATGGATAAGGGTACGGGTTCAGGTTTGAGTAATTAGATACCCATGAAGAGTATTTTAATAATTTTTTTATATAATTGGATTTTTAAATAGGTTTTGGTAATTATTGAGTAGTGGGTATATATTAGGATTCGGGTTAAGGTATAAATTCCAAAAATATTTGGATAGTTGTAGGGTTTGGATATCCATTTATTAATCAAGTTCGGATTTGAGTATCTTAAAATTAGCAAGTACCTTATCCGTTGACAATCTTAATTTTTTCTAAATTTGTCTCATTTTTTATGGCCATGGAAGTCCATCAAGGTCCTTCTAACTATGTGATTCATGTAATAAGAAGCCAATAATGTTATAAGAAAAATGTATATATAGGTAACCATGCGTAGGGATGAGCAAATGGATGGATTGAATAGTTTGGTCCACTCATTATATCTAAAGACAAAATAGATCAAATATTTTAAAAAAATCGATTAAAACCTACCAAACATAAGAGAAGACCAAACCCGTTAAACATAAAATTGATTTGGTCAGTTTGTTTTGAATCAATGGATCAAAATTTTATTACTTTTTTTTTTACAAATAATAATATTAAAACTTATAAATTTTATCCATAATTATGAAATATACAAATAATCTAACTATAAAAAAAACACCATATATTTATTTCTTCGCTCACATAATTATGTCTTTTTACATAAACTATCAAATCAATATTCAAGATTCAACATAACAAAAAGTTAAAGATAATAAAAATAATATCTACAAAATAAAACTAACATAAAACCATTAACCATCACAAAGTATCAACTTTTTTGGAAATTCACAAAGTATCAACTTTGAATCTTCATTATGACTTGACTTTTCGCATTCACTCATATAGACTATCGAACAATTGAAAGAAATAAAAAATATAATTAGTATAAATTTTTTTAATAACAGTGTAAAAGAAGATTAAAAATGAAAAATTATGTTAAAGCCCATTAAATTTAACATTTATCTCAATTGAAGTATGAAGAATGCATTTGTAAACTCTTCACTCATCAACAACAAAAATAGAATCCACAATCTCAATCTTTGACATATCTAAAATGCATAAACAAAAACGAATTAAAAAAATAATAAAATAAGAATTGAAAAAATAATAAACTGAAAAATTATAATTATCTAATTCAACTTTTTCAATATTTGACATATCCTACTCAATCTCATTGAAATTCAAAGATGAAGGTTCAGGTAACTAATATTAGGTATAAATAAGGGCTTATGCAAACGTAGGAGTTATAGAACTCTTATACGCATCAAGCACCCTACCTCCGATGCTAAAAGCTAATTTAAATGTAACTGTGGACGTTGGAATCACTAACACATCACGAGCTTTTGGCAAGGACATGAAACCTTTGACTATTGAGTTTCCACCACATCAAAGCATGAAAGTCATTGGAATCAATAGCATCATGCTCACTTAAACATTTATCCAACTCTATTTCAAATCATCTTTGCCATTTTCAATCTTGTACTTCTTTTACTCAAACACAACATCTATCGTATGTAATGAGCTTTCAGTATCATTTGTTATACATTTGCTCCCTTTAACTTGATCGCTTTAACCAGTAGTCATATATTCACGAAACAACATCCTTTTATACTCATCAAGTAACTCTTCTGTTGCTTTTTCAAATTCTTAGTCATCATGGAAGCTTGATCAAGAGAATACATTTCATTAAACACCATTCTACAAAATTTTTTCCGAAGATCATGAACAAAAGCAAAATAAAACAATGAATTCATTTTTTCAACATTTCCTCATACTTATCAAAATTTTCCTTCATTCTCTTGGCTGTTAACTTCATATCAACATCTAAAGTTCTTTGCCAATCACATAAAGTGCAATAAGCAAAACAAATATCATAGCATATGACTAAATGCTAGACCAAAAATATAAAATTAATTCTAGCTATAGGTACATATTAAGAATCATTAAATTGGATACTTTATTACTTAAAACAAAAGTCAAAAACATAATTTATTGCTATGCACACTTGGTTAATGCACTTTTTTAAACTTTCCTTTAATTACTGTGGTTTTATAATTTCGGTATTTTTCATTTCCAAAGATAATTTTCATATTGTATTTTGTTTTCAAAATAAACTAATAAAAAATCAAATATTAGGTTTAAATAAGTTTCAACAATTAAAAAATTTTAAAAAAATCTTATCTTTATTATATTTAATTAAATTTTTATACTTTTATTTTGAGTCAAATAAGTATTTATTACTAATGATTAACTAATTATTATTAATTAAAATATTACTTGTCATTTTTATCTATATGATATTAACACGATGTTAATATAAAGAGTAAAAAAATGTCACAAGATAAGGGTCATGTTATCATGTCAAATTAGTTGTTAGGTTATCATCAATTATGATATATTAACATGTTATATCATCCTTAATTATCATATATAGCATGTCTATTACACGTATAAAATTATATTTTGGCGACTTAAATACTTAAAATAAAAATATAAGTGTTCATTTAGTTCAAAATAAAAAATAAAAAATTAATTGAATATAATAAAAATATACAAATTTTTTTAAATTTTTTAAAAATAATTAAAAACTTGTTTTAAAAAAATATTATGCCAAAAAATAAATATTCCTGTTCTGCTCAGAATTATAACAATTTTCTCTCCAAAAATCAACTCTCTCTTTTAAGAAACCAATGTAATAGTTTTTTTTTTTTTTTTCTTTTCATAGGCATAAATAATTCCCGCAGAATCAATCGACTGCGAAGCATCATTACTCTTTTGAAGGAGTAAACAAGTTTAGTGTTGCATTTGTGTTTGTGTTATGTTGGGAAAACATGAATACTCTTATTCTTACAAATGCAGAAATTCACCCAATTTTGAAACAAAAGGCCAAAGGCTGAGATTAATGTCGGCTTCGAGTTTTGCCTCCAGATATGTCAAGGCAAGCCGAAGAAGCCTTGCTTTACTGGACCGATGCCTCACGATGTCTCAAATCAAGCAAATGCAGTCCCATCTCATCGTCTCAGCCACTCTTTTGGACCCTTATGCTGCCGGCAGAATCATTTCCTTCTGTGCCGTCTCCGCCGACGCCGATCTCTCTCACGCTTACAATCTCTTTCTTTCTCTTGAACATCGAACCACCTTCATTTGGAACACTATCATAAGAGCTTTTGTGGAGAGAAACGCAAATGCCACCGCCATTTCTCTATACAAAAACATGCTTCAGAGTGGGTTCCTGCCCAACAACTACACCTTTTCTTTCGTTCTTCGAGCCTGCACTACGTATTCTTCTACGGCTTTAGCTTCTCATGCTTTAGTGATTAAGTTGGGTTGGGAATCTTATGATTTTGTACTAAACGGATTGATCCATTTGTACGCTAATTTGAGCTTAATGGACGCAGCTCGTAAACTATTTAATGTGAGTACTAACAGAGATGTCATTACGTGGACCTCTTTGATAAATGGGTACCTAAAATCTGGCCATGCTGAGTTTGCAAGGGAACTGTTTGATCAAATGCCTGCAAGGAATGCAGTTTCTTGGAGTGCTATGATTACTGGGTACGTGCAAATGGGGATGTTTAGAGAGGCTTTGGGACTCTTTAATGATATGCAGCTCTCTGGACTTCGCCCGAATCATGCTGGGATCGTGGGAGCTCTCACTGCTTGTGCATTTCTTGGCGCTTTGGATCACGGAAGGTGGATACATGCATATGTAGATAGAAATGGAATGGAGTTAGACAGAGTTTTAGGCACTGCCCTTGTTGACATGTATGCAAAGTGTGGCTGCATTGAGATGGCCTGTTCAGTATTTTATATGATGCCATATAAGGATGTTTTTGCATTTACCTCTTTGATTTCGGGCCTAGCAAATCATGATCAAAGTGTGAGAGCGATTGAGTTGTTTGCAAGGATGCAAAGGGAAGGAGTTGTCCCTAATGAAGTTACTTTTATATGCGTCCTAAGTGCTTGCAGTCGAATGGGATTGGTGGATGAAGGGTTAAGAATATTCAATTGCATGAGTAAGGTTTATGGTATTGAGCCAGGTGTACAGCACTATGGTTGTTTGGTAGATCTGTTGGGTAAAGCCGGACTGCTTGAAGAGGCAAATAAATTAGTGAAACAGATGCCTATGGAACCTGACTCCTACGTGTTGGGTGCATTACTCAATTCTTGTAGAATGCGTGGTGATGTTGAGTTGGGGAAAGAGACAGTTGAGAGCTTGGTTGAGCGAGGTCTTGACCATGGTGGTGTTCATGTCCTTCTATCAAACATGTTTGCCTCTTCTAACCAATGGGATTGGGTAGTGAAGGTGAGGAAGGAAATGGGAGAAAAGAAGGTCAGAAAGGTACCAGGCTGTAGTTTGATTGAAATTGATGGCAGGTTGTGTGAATTCATTGTGGGAGATAGGTCTTATTTGCTTATGGAGGAGGTCATGCTGATTTTGTTAGGGATTGATAATCACTTGAAATTCCTTTGGCTTGATGATGACAGTACTAATTGTAGTATGACCAGCTATTAAGTTGTATCCAAGGGGCAGTGTGCATGGTACTGCCATGAGGCTGGGATGCATGGGAAATCAAGCCTTGTATCACATGGTAAACCATCAAGGTTGTATTTTTGTGGAGAGTGGTGTTTTCATTACGATGCTGAATCAGGATGGGTAGATTGCAAGTACAAATAACTTATCAAATTGCATGGATGCAGTCTTGTACCTTATCAATTTGCATTATATATGTCATGTGTACTCATTAAATGGGATTTTACGGAGACAAGTTAAAAGTATTTCACGCAATCATGCCATTTGCAACTTCTACTGTTGTGGACTTGAGAAGGCTTACATCGTAAAGGTAAGGGTCTTGTTATCTGCCATATTGGGTTGAGTGAACTGCTATTTTACTCTACTGGTTTTCTTTTAGTAATTCAATTGTGATTTTCTCTCTTCTATACAAAATTAATGCAGATATTAGCATTTTAGTTAGGAAAGTACTTGGGATTTTTGACATGTAGCATCTCTTTTGCTTATTTGACTTAGATGGAAGTTCCCATTGGAACCAATTAGATTCTTTTTCAATCTCAAGTAGACCCCCTATCTGTTTGTAATAATCATGACGTTTCCCTGTGTCATTTCTAGCTTTGGTGATATGTGGTGCCCTGATTTGGAACAGGTATCTTAGTACTGTTGCTTGATAATTATGTCCTAGCTTGTCCAATTTTGGGTTTAATGGCACCTTGATTGGTGGAGAACTTGGCAGTCCAATGGAAGAATTCTTCTTTTTGTTTTGTTTTTGTAAAACCGGGTCCAGCTCTTGATAATGCTCAGATGATAAAAGTGAAAAATAAGGGCAAGAAAAAGGAGAGAAAGAAAGGTAATATTTGTGGACAGGCTGTCCTTCGAGTGTGACCAGAGATTGGTATTCAGATTCCGTAGGTGTCAAACTTGCATCACCCCACCTTCTGTTATTTAGTGTGCAGGGCTATTAATTTTTAATTTCACCTTGTTTTCAGTTTATTCTGTTGTTAGAAACTTCTGAAAACATTCAACAATAAAAAATTTATTGTTAAATAATGACTGCAATTATAAACGATATCATGTTAAAGTGAATGACCTAGCTGCTTTCTTATAATATATTTAAATCCTTTCTTTACTTTTTTTTTGTGTCTTCATGGGGTTCTGCGTACAAGTCACCACCGGCATAATCAAATCCAAAGAATGCACATTCATTATTGCAATGTTGGGAAAACGAATTTGGATTTGCTTTGTCATATAAATTGTGAGGGTTGAAGGTAAATAATATCTAGAAACTACTTAGGATTCAACACTTTTATAGTTGAGAGTGTATGAGTAGATGAGTTTCAGATTTATAATTCGTAAGATGTTTCAAATCAAGAAAGTCAAGTTTTCATGAGTCTATCATCTACTTGTGTACTAAATTATCTAAATGCAACCTATGTGAATATAAAAATTTAATAGTATTGAATTTGGATCTGTAAATGTCGATATCATTATTTATTATTTCCTTTTGTATTTATATGTGCTTATTCTTTATTCCAAATGTTAAGACTTCAAATCAGAGTAAAGGTTGATTTATTTCTCTGCGCATGTTTTATGGGTAACAGAACGTGTGATCCCAGTTCAATGGCGTATTTGACACTGAGTGGATCAAATAACAAGGTATTTCTCTCATCTTACGATAGTAAAGTGTTTTTTTTTTTTTCCGAGTTTCTAATTCTCTAATGATTTTATGTCTGAATTGCTATGGATATTCTGTTTGTTTTGCAACTTCTATTTCCAGGCCTTTGAGTTACTTGACAACAAATGGTACCCAGACTGCTTTTACTACCACCAACCAAACAACAACATCTAAAACATTAAAAGGAAACCCAATGTAAGCCTCCCCTTGCTGGACCTGCAGATAATGGTTTTGTGGGTCAGTAATTACAATTTATTGATGTGGGACAAGAATATATTTATTGAAGGATATTTTAGAGATTTGCTTTTACTTATTTTATCTATTTTTTGGATTTAATTGTAATTTTAGTATTTGGGAAACCTTTAGGTAGGGATGTAAACGGGTAGAGTACCGGTTTTTTTGAGGGACCCTACCCCAAATCTGTTTAATTAGGAAGGTACCTTCCATTATGATTTTGGCGATTTAGCAGTAAATTTGCAATTACTTATCACAAAAAAAAAAAAAGAAGAAAAATACATGAACTCTATTAAAACCCAAATAAAATCATAAAACATTATCCAAAACCAAATCCTAACAGTGTAGCACTATTCGCTAATTACCCGAATCCGTTAAATACCCGATTAAATAACTCAAACAACTTAAATAACTAAAAATCATAGTAAAGTTAATTTTTTGTTTATTAGTTTACCAAAAAAGAAAGTTGGTTAAGATTGAAAGTTTGCGTTGAAGGTAATGGGATAAAGATTTGAATTGCACAACTTACAAATATTTGAAACATTATATATAATATTACGATATATATATATATATATATATGTATGTATATATGTATGTATAATTGGGTTCGGCATAAGGGTATCCTAAGGGTGGTACTTGAAACCTACCCGAACCTGAGTTGACTATTAAAAGCCTTCGTTTACATCCTTACCATTAAGGCATCTAAGGTTAAATTTGGTATTTCAAATTTATTTTAGCTATAGAAAGTAGGAATATAAATACTTATGTTATTTTCAGTTTTGGTTGCTTTAGGCATAAGCAAAGTACATAATTATTTTGATTTACAAATAACTATTTTAGGTTTAGGTGAGCTTTAATCAAATAACTATTTTTGATTTGGTAAAATGAACTTCAAGCATGTTCTGTAGTGTCAAGTGCCTTGTAATGCAGTGGTTTCAATTGAAGTTTATGCTAATATGCCTTGTTTCAAAGTTTTGAGCTTTGGGGTAATGATTTTGGACTTGAAACTGCAGAAGTTTAGGTGAAGTATTGATACGCTTGAATGGGGTATCAATACTTGTTCTTCGAAAGGGCTCCAAGGGACATTGTGGACCAGAAGTATTGATACCATAGGGAAGGTGGTTATACTTTTAGGCCAGAAAGGTCAGGGAGAATATTTTGTTCTACAGGTATCAATACCTGTTGCAAAGGTATTGATACCTGCAGCTTATTTTCCCAAAAGTAGTTTGTTTTCAACTTTGTTTCCACATAGGGTGCTTTCCCACCCTGGATTAAAACTCTAGATGCTTTGAAATGATTTGAGTACATTAAAAACAACTAAATTATATGTTGGGTAACACAAGTGCATCATGGATTTGGTTTAGAAATCTAAAATGCATGGTTTCAAAAAGAAATGGCTTAGCTTTATAAATCATGCTGTGTGTAATTGCTTGTTCTCTTCTTATGTCCCTCATTGTGTTTTATGCTTACTGTTTTCAGCTCACGTTTTGGTTCAGATTTGGAGATATCTGGATTGTAGCTTGAGATGTCCTACCCATATCCATCATTGGTAGGTTCATTACCATGGCAGTCAGTAGTCGTCTCCACACCCAGTTTCACTCTGCTATCCAGTCCATTACTCATTTTGTTTGTTTGTTGTCTAGCAACAATACTAATATAGCCACGACTTGGCAAATGTTATATGATTTATGAGGATAATGTGAGCACATAAAGTACAACATATTTTTGAGATGGAATGCATGGATGGTATTGAGCTTATAGTGACCAATTCATGACCCATGGAATTTGAAACCAGTATAAATGACTAGGTACAAGACTTTCTTGGGCCTAATGGGCTGTGCATATTAGGTTCATGGACCGATCACGATTTAGAATTGGGTCGTGAGATTATACCTTATAGAAATTGACAGCGTCAAAACTTTGTACACGAACTAACTCTAATCAGGCTCATTTGTGTTTTAAACGTTGGCTCACTTATCAGGTATAGGTTGGCTTTTACTATTTTCCTTTTCTTTTTCTTGCTTATTATTTTATTTTTGGTATTAATGAAATAAAGAAAGATACAATGAGAATAATTATGAGTAGTGATTTAAATTTAAAAATAAATCTTTTAAATGAAATTTTTAAGAAAGGTTATGAGTAATGATTTAAATTTTTCAAAGGAAGAATAACTATGAGACCTCGTCATAAGTTTTATGAGGTAATCTTATGACTTATTTTTAAAGTTAGATTTATTTATAAATAATTATTATAAACAAAAAGATAATCACAAATAAAGAATAAAAATTATATATTAAATAGTTAAGATTTCATAAATTAAAATATGACATAAAAGAATAATAATAAATACATATTTAAAATTTTGTGAATTAAAATATAATATCATAATATTGAAAATATTATATACATAAATATAAATCTTCTAATGATGAAATCTTAAGAAAGTTATAAGTAATAATTTCAACAGCATTTCTAGGTGAAGAAATTTTCTAAAATTGTCATAAATAATGGAAAAGTTTAAAAATTTTTAGTGTAAGAATTTACATAAATAATAATAATAACGTATAAAACAAACATAAATAAATATAAATTCCCCAATGATAAAATCTCGAAAATGTTATAAGTAATAATTTTGAGAGAATTTTTAGGTTAGGAAATTTCCTAAAATTTTCCCAAAGTATTTAAAAATTTTAGAAAATTTTCAATACAAGGATTTGCAGAATAATAGTAATAAAATAATAAAAATGAAATAAATAAATAAGAAAATGTATAAATAAAAAACCTAAATGGATAATAATTCTTGAATTATGAAATCTCAAGAACGTTGTAAGTAATAATTTTGAGAGAATTTCTACATGCAAAATTCTTTTTGGATTCTACCATAAGTATTGGAGTATTCAAGAAATATTTCAATATTAAAGGATTTTTATTTTAAAATGATAAAATAAAAATAATAAAAATGAAAAATAATTAAGGAGCATAAAATTGGGTATCAAATTTAAAGTTTATTTATTAAGTATTAGCTTTGAGATTTATCATGTTTTGATTTGACAAAAATTATATATTATCTTGAACTTAATATCAGGTATTTAAAATTGCCTCAAATATATCTTTAATCTCCTAAAGTTACATAATTGTTTGAAAGCCATGCATCATTAGAAAATATCATAAAAACTTTCCAATAATGCATATTTAGCTAAGAAAACAAAGAGCAAATAGCCCTTGAATTATTATTTGATTGTAGGAACAAGGTAAGGAAGAAATAGCTGAAAGAGACGTCAAAAAGTTAAGGAAACCTCAAAACATAAGTCAAGAATCGACCTTAGAGAAGCTTATGTTGATTCAAAGGTAGAAAGAGTGAAAACTTGAAGTATACAAAGCCATAGTTGACTCTAGAGTGACTTTAGTCAACTCCAAAGCAAAAAACTAAAAAATTTGAAGAACAACACAACCATTGTCGACCTTGGCTTTGTGGTAGTTGACCCTGGCTATTTTGATGCGTAAAAAAAAGAGAAATCAAGAGACAAGGTTGACGCTAGCAAAGACATAGTTGACTACATCAGCTTTGACTTGCAAAAATCACACTCTCGAGAATTAGATCGAGTATAGAAGGTTATACTTGACTATAAAACCTTAATTTGAGAAATTTGAGAAGCATAGTCGACCTCAAAAGCATTATAGTCAACCTCAAGCTTTAGCAATGATCAAATTTAATTCAAACATGTGTTTAACAGCTCTAAACTCCATAGTACCTATAAATAAACACCTTTCAGTCATTTAGAAGCAAGAGAATATTAGATATAAAGTTTCAAACCCTAAAAAGACCTCCAAAAGCTTATCCTTACTCTCTAACTTCATTTTAGTTTTTCACCAAGCTTAAAAAAGTTCTACACTTGCTTTATTTGAGCTGATATTTCTTCTCTCACTACACTCAAGCTTAAACTCCTAGCGCCCAACCTTTGTAAAGGTATTTTCTTATTAAGCTTTGTACTCCATTGTCAAGGTTCTAACTTAACCTTGAAAAGATATTTGTGAGTTTGTGGTTGAGCTCGTGAAAAACCATTGTTGAAGGGTTTCGCTTGATCTCATAAAAAACCATTGTAAGGATTTCGCTTAATCCCATGAAAAGCCTATTGTGAGAGTTTTGTTTGATCTTGTAAAAAGCTGTTATGAGGGTTTCGCTTCATCCCATAAAAGGCTCATTTCCTTTAGTGGATTTGAAATTCTTTAGTGTTCCAAAGGAGTAGATGTAGATAGTAGAGAAAGCCGAACCACTATAAAAGTCTTGTGTCTTGTTTTTAATTTTTCCTTATTGTGATTTCTTGCTTGCATTTAGCTTGGTAAAATATTTACCTTGATTTATTATTTATGCTTTGCTTTTATTTGATTTAGGAGAATATTTTACCTTCATTTATTATTTGTCCCTTTTCAATTTATTATTGAAAGCTTGCTTAGAAAAATCACACACTTTGTTTTTGACACAAGAAGAAATTTTTTGTTGCAAAAATATTGATTTTTATACTTAGTTTTCAAAAGAATTTTTAAATACTAATTCACCCTTTCTTGGTATATTGCTTATTGAGACTTTTACACTAACATTAAGGTTAAAAGGATAATGCATAATTAATTAGGTACCACGTTGAATGGGTGTTGCGAAGGTGCTAACACCTTTTTCACATGTAACTGTTTGTCCTAACCTAGTTTGTTTCGTTGAGCGAAAATGTATCCTTTTAAATGAACCTAAGTCAAGTTTTGAACCTCATTAAAAAGTATAGTTTTACTTAGGTGACCAATCATATCTAATCGAAAAATATTGGTGACGATTTTTCTAATGTCAAATAATTGAGTTTCAAGACTCACACATTATGATAATAAAAATTTAGTAAAATTTATAACCAAAATTTATAAAATTTTATAGTAAAATTAATCAAAAATTGTTCAAAACTAATTTTGAAATAATTAAAACAGATATTTTCAATTTTTGAGATTTCTCGAGTCTTGATGGTTATTTGGCCTACTTTGAGCACTTATAACTCCTAACCCGAGTCAATTCCAATGATAAACTCAAAATCAATTTGAAGTATTCATGTCATACTATAACATTAAAATTTGTTTCAGTCAAAAAGATTAAAAAATTCACAATTTTTGAAAGTCAAAAATTTAATAGTATTTTAAATTTTTTTTTACATAATTAGGTTTTTAAACAGGTTAAGGTAATTATAAGATAGTGGAAATGTATTAGGGTTAAGGTTAGGGCAATAATTTTCACAAATATTTATGTACTTTATTTATTATAGGGTTAGGATTCGAGTACCTCAAAATTAGTCGGTACCTTATCCGTTGACAACCTTATTTATTCTTCTTCACTAATAAATGCCAAGGGTCATAATAATAAATTTTTTTTAAAAAAAAATTATGGTTTGTTGAAGCAAAATACTATTAGCCAAAATTTAGCTAATGGAATGTTTGATGCAGAATTAGGAAAACGTAAATTAACCCAACAATAAACTAGCGTTTAGCATGTGAGGATGTGTAAATTCAAATCCATAAGTTAAAATTTCAACTCATTATCTTGATGTCCAAACCTAGACACCCATATCACCATCCTGGTGATGAATTTTCCCATCTTTCCAGCCAATTCTCCTATCTTTGTGCTTGTAGTCCGCTTGCACTTGACGCTTAGCGTTCAAACATAATTTGACATGTCATCAAAAGTCCAAGACAGCATCTTGTCTTTTATTAGTAAAGTCATATTCTACTTGCACCAGTTATTCAATATCAAGAGTTCCCACTTTAGTAAGACTTTTTTTTTGAATTTGAATTCGATTACCCCTCTATTTATTAGCTACACAACTTCTATTATAATTCAAACTCTACACGATAATAAGACAAAATTTTAACTAAGTTTAATCGTTGAAATCACTTGATGATGAGCTCAAAACCATTTGCCACGTAGAGATTTATTGAAAAAATTAAACAAAATACACAGACTCCCTTAACTTTTGATTATAATTACATGAAAATCTATTGCTTTTCAATACAAATATTCCACTTCAAATGTGTAAACGATGTTAATGTCTAAATGTGAAATGTCTAAAATGCCTTTTTTCTTTTTTTTATTCTTTTCCTTTCTTTTATGTTGATCACCGACGCTCTGTTATCCCAATTGGTTACCTTAGCAAGCGCCAATTTGATGCTCCCTAGTGCTCTTTTGGGGACACTAAATTGATGGTTGCTCCCTAGAGAACACCATATCATGGTGCTCCCAAATTTGCGCTCCTTTAAGGGAGTGCGATTTGGTCGGATCTAGCGCTCTTTAGCCAGATCTAGCTGTAGGGTACCCAACCGACAGGAGGTAAGGTAGAGTTTTCTTTTTGAAAAATTATAGTATGATATTTTTAAAATTAATGAAGGGCAAAATTATCTTTTCAATATTATCATGTCATCAAATTAACGAAAATATTAATGGTTGACTAACAATTGGACTTATGTGTCCAATTGAAGATATTCTTTTGGAACGAAGAGTTCATTTTGAAATCTAATGGATCCGGGTGTATTTTTGATCAAAAGTTGAGGAAGTTTGTGTATTTTACGTTAAAAATTTGTAGCATCTTTTTTTGTCATTGAACACCCTTTTTTTCCACTTCATCAACCTCATAATTTGCTTCCTTCAAGGCATGAGTAATTTCCACTACTGGATTTTTCTTTACGTGTTCTCCATCTATGGTAACCATGTTTTGAGCCTCCATGGTGCCTCTACAGGTTAAGAGTCCAAAATACTCCATGGTGCCTCTAC